TCCGTACCATTATGTGTTTCAATAATTTTACCCAAAGGCCATCTAGCTGGTGATGTGTTTTTATCTTTGATAAGAACTACCTGATCCTCTTTTATATTTGGGGCAGAATGCTTCCACTTGCGACGATGTTGAAGACTTGCAAGATATTCATTTTTCCATTTATTCCAGAAATAACCTTTTATTTTCTGAATTATTTTCCACCGATTAAGAGAATCAATTGATTTTGAACAACTTTCCTCTGGAATATCAATTAAAGGTCTTCCAACTAGGAAATGGCCGGGAGTTAAAACATCAGTATTCTCTGTATCATCTCGTACTTCACATAACGGTCTAGAATTTAACATTACTTCCACTTGAATTAACAGTGTCGACATTTCTTCATAAGTTAATTTCACTTCACCAATGACTCGTCTTAAATGATGTTTCATCGACTTGACTGCAGCCTCCCAGATTCCTCCAAAGTGAGGACCTCCCGGGGGAATAAAATGCCATGTAATTTTTTCCGCTGCCATCGTTCCAGCAAGTGATGAAAGTTTTCTAATAGCTTTTTCATATTCATCATCTATTTTCTTAGCAGCACCGACAAAATTTGTACCATTATCTGAATATAAATGCGAACTTTTGCCTCTTCTACCGAAAAATCTTTTAAGGGCAGCCAGAAACGCATCTGTTGACAGGTTCTACAGCTTCTAAATGGATTGCTTTCGTAGCCATACAAATGAAAACGGCTATATAACCTTTATATGATTTCTGCCCTCTTCCTTTTGATACTCTCATTTGTACGGGGCCTGCATAATCTATTCCTGCATGCTCAAATGGCTTCGATATTGACACTCTGCTTTCCGGTAGGTTCCCCATTAACTGTGTAGCGGTTTCACGCCTATATCGTATTCATCTAACACAGCTTCGAACATACCTTTTAATAATATTTCTAGCATTAATTATCCAATATTGCCGCCTCAACATATTTTCCATTAGTTTTATACCGCCATGTAGAGTAGTTTTATGATAATCATCAACTATTAGCATCGTTAAGTGACATTTTGGTAATAGTATTGGATGTTTTCTAGCAAAAGAGAATGGAGAATTTTCTAACCGGCCTCCGACTCGCAGTATTTCATTTTTATCCAGAAACGGGTAAAGACTACAAATTTTATAACCAGATGGAAGTTCTCTTCTGTTTTTGATCAAATTGATTTCTTTTGTGAAATATAAATGTTGAGTATGCCGTATTATAATATTTTCTGCCTCCCTTAATTCTTCTACTGTCAACCACACAGGAAACTTCTCCTTTTTTAGCTTTCTGATGAATCTGCTTATATATGCAATGATGTATAATAATTTCCTATAATTGGAATACCGATCTATTATATCGGTATTATATCGGTATATCGATATTATATTATATATAAACTCTGGGAAGAGTTTATATTATTTGTTGCACAAAGAACAGGTTCAGTTGCTGTTGGCCAGTTTGATTCATCTTTTAACCATGTAGGACCATTCCACCATAAACTATGTGCTGCAAGTTTTTCTGGTTTCAAGCCCCTTGAAGCCACATCCGCTGGATTGTCTTCTGACCTAACATGATTCCACGTTGCCGAAGGCATGCATTGCTTGATTTCTCTTACACGAGTCCCAATAAATTTATCTTTAGTTTTATTTTTGTTCTTGATCCATGATAATGCTATTGTTGAATCGCTCCAAGCATATATTTTGACTTCTCTGTTTATAACTTCTTTAATGCTTTTCATAAGTTTTCCTAACAGATGAGCCCCACATAACTCCAGCTTGGGTAATGTCTTTTTGTTTTTTATCGGATTTACTTTAGACTTTGCTGCTAGCATAGTAATAGCATTAGAAGTTTTAGCATAAACTACTGCTGCATAAGCCTTCTCTGAAGCGTCCGCAAATCCATGAAGCTCTAAACTTGTGTCAGCTAAAGTTGATATCCATCTAGGAATTTTTATATCTTTAATAGTCGAAATCCTTGAAACAATCGCATTCCATTCGTGAGATAATTTAACGTCTAACTTCGTATCCCACGTCAAGTTCATAAGCCATAATTTTTGTATAAATAATTTCGCCATTGTTGTTGTTGGTGTCAACCATTCAAGTGGATCATAGATTCGAGCCAATATAGACAGTGCTTTGCGTTTAGTTATGTTAGTACTATCTACTGACTCGATGTAAAAGGTAAAATTGTCTGATTTCGGCACCCATTGTATACCAAGCGTCTTAACAGCTTCTCCGTCTTCTACTTTAATAATATAACTGTCTCCAGAGTCCGAAATTTCACCTAAAATTCGCTTTTCGTTTGCCATCCATTTTCGCAAATGAAATCCAAACTTTTCTAGCTGCCGACTGATTTCAAATATTCCATATAGAAGTCATTTTTTATTACCTGATATAACTTTGAGTTTTTATCTGCACAATCATAAGCAACTTCTAGTAGAGCTCTTTTTGCCAAGAACGGTGCACAAGAAGTTCCATAGGTTACTGTTTTCAGTACAAATTCTTCTATTGGTTTTTCTGGATCTTCACGCCATAGGATAGTTTGGTACGGCTGATCTTCTTCTGCTACCAACACCTGCCGATACATTTTTTCTATATCAGCTGTCATAACGTACTTCCACAATCTTCACTTGATAAGTAGCTGAAATAAGTCCAACTGTAGCTTAGGTCCAGTGTGTAGTATTTCATTTAAGCTTTTTCCGTTAGTAGTTTTTGCTGAAGCATCAAATACTACCCGAACTTTTGTTGTTGAATGGTCATCTCTTATTACAGCTTGATGAGGCATATAAAATTTACCAAATATCATTTTAGAAACTTTCTGCATGTGACCCATTTCCATATATTCCTTCATGAACTTGATGTATTCTTTTTTTAGCTTAGAGTTTCTTTTAAATCTTTTTTCCAAACACAAAAGCCTGGCCATAGCCATTTTCCTAGAGTCTCCTAGTTCGTTTTCTTTTTTAAATGGTAATTTTATGATAAATCTGTTTTCTTTATTTATTTCCTTATTCCTTATTTCACATTCTTTATCAGTTTCATTTATTTCAGGTGCTTCACAAACTTCTTCAATTTCCCAAAATCTCTCAATGTTTGAAGTAACTGCTGATATTATAGTTTTAACTGTATTGTTTGTGTTGATAACTCCAGATAATATCCAACCAAGAGAAGTTTCTTGACCTAAGATTTTACCCCATTTTCTCAAACCCGGCTGCAATATCTCGGTAAGGATATCTGCTCCCAGCACTATATCTACCCGGTCAGATTTATTAAACATAGGATCAGCTAAACAATAATTGTCCCATTTTTTTAAATCTTCATTAAACGAATTATTAGGTTGTGCTGATGTTAGCTTGCTAAGAACCATAGTTTTAATTTTGTAACTGTTATTGCTTTTAAATCTTGGACGAATTACGAGTTCTACTGTTGATTTTGATATTCCTACTAATGTATTTCCTAATCCAATCAGATCCGTTCTTGATTTAGTTCTATGTAACCTTAATATTTGTGCTGCTTCCTCTGAAATTGATGTCCTCTGTGAACCTTGATCTAGCAGCGCTCTTAACAAAACCTTTTCACCACTTGCAGAATCCGCTTGAATCTGTGCTGTTGCTAATAAAGTGATTGCACTATTTTCTTTGGTAATCATGCTTGCAGCTGCACCAGCACTAGTTTGTGGTTTATCTTGCACAATTCTCTGAAAGTGTAGCATACTGTGATGCTGTCCTCCACATTGCTCACACTTTTTATCCAGCTTATAGAATTTCTTGTCATTTTTGTGTGCAAAACATATTTTACATAACTTTGATTTATTAATCCAGGAGTTTTTATCACTAACCGATAGCTGAGTAAACTTCCGACATTCAATAACAGAGTGACCTACTGTGTTACAAAACACACATTGTTTTTGTGAAATTTGAAACACATTTGTCGATTTTATTTTTTTATCTGTAATATTTCCTTTTTTGCAGCCAACCGATTCGAGAGCTAAATATTGTTGCTCTAAAAATGTAATAAATCTTCTACTGTTTGAACTTCTTTTGTTTTTTGAACGCATTGTTCATACCTCAGCAAACCTTCTTTATCCAGTTTTCGAATGAGAATTCTTGCTATAAATGGATCTGCATCCTCAATTGGTATTCCCATAGCTTTTATAGCTTGATATGATTCTGTTGCAGTATCCAGCAACTGTTTAATACTTGCAGCATTTTGTATATTAACGCTGCTATGATCAATGATTCTATCAAATAGCGTACAAAATAATAGCCTTCTGTTATTATACCTATGCTCTAATATTGTCCATGCTGCATTGTAGTTTTCTCCTGTTACTTGAAGATATTGAATTAGCCGTGCAGCATCCCCTTTTATGACGTTTTTCAGTCGATAAAATTTCTCAACATTAGATAGCATCTTGTTACTATCTACTAGTTTTGAGAATATTTCTTGGAAAGAGTTCCAATTATCTACAGTTCCATTAAAAATTGGCAGTCTTAAGTCTTCTAAACGTGTTGGATTGCAGTGTTCAGTCGCTATATTCTCGTCATATTTTATCGCAATTTCTTCTAAGATTTCTTCATAACTGGCTCTCATCAGTATGAAGGTTCCTTCTATCTCTTCGTCATCATAATTTTCATCGCAAATTTTGTTGTATAATACTGTGATGTCTTTAAACTGAGCTTCAATATTGGCTCGGTTCGTATCAAGCAACCCTTTAGTTGCTTCCGGCAGTTTTCCCTTAATGTTTTTTATTTTTTCTTTCAACAAATCAATTCTTTGTTGAAAACGCATTATAATCTTTTTAGGTTTTTCATTTGACTCTTTGTGATTCAGTATAATTACACTTTCATTGCCTGGAGACTGTTGTTTTGTTTTTCTGTCCGAATCCATATTACCTGCCTTTCCATCCACAGAAGTTGGCGTATCTGCATGTGTGCTTTCTGCATTTTTATCTTCCGTTTCCTCTACTAACTCTGCAGGTGAAGACATTTCTTGCTTTGCAAGCTGTTCAAAATCATCTAATATTTTTTGCATATTCTTGTATGCTTCTGAAGCAGCTTTATCTGTTTCTTTAAATTGAGAATTTTCCTTATAAGATGTTTCGCATACAGATTCAAATGTCTCTGTGTATAAATGCCATGTATCTTTTAACCATTTTTTGTTTTTCTTAATGTCTTTTGACGACATCTACTGGACGTCAACTTCTTCTCTTCTCTTTTATTTGTAACGTATATGCTATATCTTTGAGCCGATCAAACTGCTTTTCAGCGGCACTTCTGGATATAGGCATTTTAACCGTTTTTTTTTTACAAACGCGTCCGATATAACCGATTAATATTTTAACCTGCTATTCAAGCCACAGGTACGCTTAATAAATTCGACGGATTTTATCAAACTCGAAGTAGTAGCTATTAATATCTGTTGTTTAAGCCACAGATACGCTTTTCACAAATTTAAACACTTGCCTGTTGTCTAAGCCACAGATACGCTTTTTCACTGATTCTAATACCTTAAGTATCTTACCACTGGTGATGGATACAAAAAAGCTCGAAGGACCAAAAATATTAAAAAATTACCCCGTAGTAAAAATTTAATACTCATTTAATGTTTGTAAGACACTGAATTTATTTTTAAAAATGAACTGCTTATATAGTAACTTAAAATCTATCCTTATCACTAAATGCATGATATTGGTTTATCTCTCAAATTAAAGATACAAAATATTTGATCATAAAATAAACAAAGAAAATATTCTATCCTAAATATACAAGTAATTTGAGCATGCGTAAATAAGCAATTTGAGCAGACAAGAAAATACTCTATCCTAAATAATCAAGTAATTGTTATCTTCTTGTGCGTTGGTGGTATTTTGCTTACATGAATGATAAGCAATTTAAACAACCACCACTGCTAATGTGCACGGATTTCTTATCCTAAATACATTAAAAAACCAATTTTATCATGCCTAAATAAAAAATAGCTAAATAGTAAAGGCCGCAGAGTTTTCCTTAAGATAAGAATGTTGAGAAAATTTATTTAAATTTGAACATAAATATTTAATAAAAGTTCGATCACTGGATATGACTTTCACTCATATCAATCAGTAATAACATTTTATATATAAATATTTAATAAAAGTTCGATCACTGGATATGACTTTCACTCATATCCCATCCTCGTCGCCAATTAAATAATTAAATTAAAAAGACATTTCGATTTAGTTTTTTTTATTTAAGGTTTATTTCTTTATTTAATTATTCACGTCTTTTCACTCTTCAAAGTACAACAAAATAATAATTCTAAAAACGAAAGTGTTTTTCAACTAAAACGATTAACTGTAACAAACAAAACAAAATTGTTTACGAACTAAACCATTTAACCGTTTTTAATAATTTAGTTGACAAACAACTCCGTCTCGCCCCCAACAGTCGATCATTTCGACTCATCTATAAATTTATAAAGCTTAATATTATGTATGTGATTATATAAACATTTATCTATACATATTTTGTTCATACATAACTCGCGCTTTTCTTTGTATTTGTAATAATTATTACTGTCTCTCTCATCTGTTTTTAAAACAAAACAATTGCAATTATTATTTTGAAAAAAAAAACTAAAGTTTTAGTGTATTTGATTTAAGTTATGTATTTAATTAATAATGAAAAAATGCTGTTGTTATTTCTTACCATTTCTGGCAAGTATTTTATATATAATATTGACTATATAATGTTGACCACAGCAGTAGTTTTAACTAACATTTAACAGAAATTTTACTAAGAGAAAAAAAACAGAACTCATTAATTGTACGATATTTTATCTTTCTCATTAGAGTAAGACATTTTTCACCCTTTCGTGTAAATAGCTACATATAAATTTTATTTGCAATACATGTGATAAATTAACTACTTTAAGCAACATTAGGTACAAGTATTATTTGTTTTGACGCGGTTTTGTAAGAACCCGAGAGTTTCATGTGCTCTATCTTCAAATGTCACTTTTTATTTATTACTTTATATGCATTTACTTTTATTTATTTTTTACATTGGATTAAATTACTACCTCATTATTATGTTTAGTTTACAGGACTGTACCTTTTTTGTAAAAATGAGAAATGTATCAGAGAAAAAATGTTTGTGTTTTTACGAAACGGAAACCCATTTACAGTTTTAATTTGAACACCGCCATTTCCTATTTCACTACAGGTTTCCTTTGACTTGTAATTGAGACATTTCTCATTCTTTTTATTGTTGTAATTTTATTTTCCGCTAAATATGCATGTTGAACACTTTCCAGGTATTGAACTCAATTGGTTTAATGTGTATTCAGTCCTCTCCGCCACTGTGATATCTAGAACGCTATCCTTCCTAGAGTCATTACCTGATTTCAAAAATTCCTCTACTTCGAAAACACATCTCTTCTCAGGTGTGTTTGAGGAAGTCGCAGTGATCGGCAGTGTTTTGTAGTGTTGCTACTGAGTCCCTTTCTCGCTAAAATGGCCAAGGATGGTTTGTCGTTCACAAAACTATTGACCTATATTTCATCAATGGCCACCATAATGATGGAGTACTTCAGCATGTCGCTAAAGGTCTTTGTAGTGTTGGCATTGCAACGAAATTTTGCCGAAATTTTTTCGAGGCTAAGATTTGGATGTAACGGAAATGTTTTTTATCTCTCGAACAGTCTGGTCGCCGCTCGCCGTTCTTTATAAATTCTATTGTAAGGAGAGCCTGATCTCACAGACGAACGAGAACGCGTGGAGATTGGCATTAGGAGTGATGTACCATTAGGTGTTTGATCTCATTTATTAGTGACTATTCAACTGAACACATCTATTTTTTTTTTTTTAAACATACATTTATTTATTACATCTTCTCTTAAAATGAGACTAACAATAAGTTGTAAAATCTTATAACTAATTACATAATGTTACAAATTTTTATTTTAACTATATATTGTAAAAAATAAAATAAAATAAGTAATCCTTATATCACGAACCTCACTTAGATTAATGGGTTAAATTTCATTGGAGTGAATGTTAGGTGGTTTCTTAAGAAAGTGGTTCAACTTTAACAGATTACTAAAAAGAAAGGTGCGGTTTTTACTTCAAGCTGTTGAATATTAATTAATGTCTGTACGATCAGCTTTTTTTAGGCGGGAAGTAATGGATAGAAGTGCGAGATTTCTTGCTAAGGGATTAACATGCTCTGTCAGCCTTTTATTGTATTTTTTTTCTTATATTGTCAAATTCAGCTTTAACTAGGGGAATTTGTAGATCTCGGTGTATACTTTCATTCCTAATATACCATGGGACACCAGTGATAATTCTTAGTATTTTTGACTGAGCTCTTTGGATAATTTCAATATTTGAAGTACTAGCATTGCCAAATAGCTGAATACCATAAGTCCATATTGGTTTTATGATGCTGTTATACAAGAGTAATTTATACTCTAGGCATAGGGAAGATCTGCTATTAATGAGGCAATGCAACTTAGAGGCTTGAAGCTTCATCTGAACTTTTTCGCTTCAACATGTTTGCGCCAAGTTAGTCGTCTGTCTAGGTGGATACCTAAGTACGTTATATTATCTGCTTGTGGTATGAGAATGTTGTTTAGTAAAATTGTTGGAGATGTACTCCGATTTAAGGTAAAAATCTATATTTTACTTCGTTAATTTTAATTCGCCATTTTGACAACCATTTCTCCACCCGATATAAGTGAGATTGAAGTTGGTTTGAAGCTAGCACAGCGTTTCTGTTTCGGCATAAAATTGCCGTATCATCGGCAAACGTTGTGGTGATAACTGAACTACTTATCGGGATATCAGATGTGTAAAGTACATACAATATAGGGCCAAGAGCACTTCCTTGGGAAATTATTAGAAGTATATGATTTGCATTTCACTTTAAAGCTTCTATTATACAGATACGATTCTAAAACTGAGTGGACATTTGCAGGTAATGAACAGCGTATCTTATATATGAGTCCATTATGCCATACTTTATCAAATGCTTGTTTAACATCGAGGAATACCGCGGAACAATATTCTCTGAGCTCAAATGTGTGTCTTATTTCATTCGTTATACGATTCACTTGCTCAATAGTTCCATGTTTTTCCCTAAAACCAAACTGGTGGGAGGGTATTAAGTTTTGAACGTCAAGGAACGGTTTTAGCTTTAAAAGCAGTGCTCTTTCAAAGAGTTTAGAAAGGCATGGCAGAACACATCTATTGTCACTGCTTTTTCAGAAAAAAATTTAAACTCTATTTTGGCAAAGCTGCACGTTAAGGAGTCATTTAATTTGAACTATCAAATCATTGAAACTACCAATAAAATCAATTCGCATTGCTATAAATTGAAAAATCAATTTATTTGAAAACATTTTAAAATCAGCGTCCTTATTTCTTACTTGAATAATTTACTAAATTTGATAAATGAATCAAATTTCCTACTGGTTCGTTTAAAGGAATTAATAAGAGAATCTATTTTTACAGTGAGACAATATAAGAACTAAATTTGGTATAACTGAAATCAAACAGTCCATATTCATAAAAAGCTTTAACTTATAGAATTAAACATCAGTATACGTTCTAATGTTTATAGTATTTTCAATGAAATGGAAGCAATTGATTTTATTTAATCAGATATACATTTAAATAATGTATCTTCATGTTTTCAATAAAGAGTATTACTCTTTAGTAATCAATAAAGTGCATTTTTGTAAATATTTAGGACAGATTAATACTTCAGTATGCTAACTTAGACATCCTTTTTTAACAATGTTATGTGAATTTTTTATAATATATATATTTGTTTAATTTGAATTTTTTAATATTGAATTTATTAATTAAATTTTCTGACTGCTTTAGACCATTCTGGCTAAATAAATTTACTTTATGCAAAAATAATTAAAAAACGAAATTGCTTTATTGTTTCACCCATCACACCAAGTCCAAGGGAAGGTATTGAGCCTTCAGTACTGTAATTCATACAGCTACATAAATTAAAATTAAAGGTATATTATTTTATAATAACAATATAATAAATTATTATTATAAAGAATCCAAAAAAAAAAATGATTTACTTACCTAACATATTTTATAAAGTTTTAAATATAACTATACAACTATACAAAATGCAAAACAAAAAAATTCATACCATGTAATATAAAAACAAAAAATGTTATTT